GGGTTGTTACCAACATCTGGTGAAAATTTCATGTCATTAGCACCTCTAGTAATATATTTACTGAGAAAAATGGTGACGTGTTCAATACTTATTTTACCTGCTGTTTGCAATGTTTAGTGTTAAAAGACGTACAGGACTATTATTTGGAAAAGATAACAGAAATAATTAGTATTTATCTAATATTGTGTTTTATTTGAATGATTGTATTTATGAGAATTTATTACTGTTTTTTTCTAAAGTTTTGCAGAATTAAGCTGAATATTACAGTGATATCGTTATTTAAACTATAAATACTTGTGGTTAATTGGTTTTTATTACCCGAGTTATTATTTATTTGATGTGTTTTTGTTTTTGTGGGTCTTTAAAAATAACAGCTTGAATCCTGATAATTTCGGCTGAACTCACCTGCCTCTGACTCACGGAACATCTGAGACCCAAAAAGGCGGAAACGTCGCCGGTGAGACGGTCCGGGCGGGTTTTACTTCAACCCAACCGAACCGACTCTGACAAAGACGAACCGAGCGGAACCGCCCCGATAACCAGCGGGTAATATCCTCAGGGAGAACCGGGCAGAAGGACGAGGTTTCGGCCTCTAGAAGAACCGGGACTTCAGCGGTCAGCACGGGGTTTCCTGCACGACGATCTTCACCTGCAGGGGCTCACCTCTGCTCAGCGCGCGCCCCGCTAACATCAAAGGGTGGATTAAAAAAAAAAAAGCCGCCGTCTTTGCTTTCCTCACGTGCGGAGGACCGAGCGCTGCTGCAGCCGCTCGAACTGCTGAATCATCCACGGTACACACGCGCGCGCGCGCACGCGGCTAGGGCTCGAGCGAGGCACAGCTGACTCTGACGTCACGTATTTGCCGTAAACATAACCCTTTATTGACCGGATGAAGTTTAAACTCATTTAATCCAGTTTAAAAGTGATTTGATCCAGTTTTAAACATGATTCATACCAGTCTAAACTCATTTAATTCAGTTTTAAACTGATTTATTCCAGTTTTAAACTGATTTATTCCAGTTTTAAACTGATTTATTCCAGTTTAAAACTGATTTTTAACAGTGTAAGCTATTTTAATCAATTTTGAAGCTACTTTATTCCATTTTTAAACATTGAATCCAGTTTAAATTATTTAAATCCAGTTTTCAACTAATTTATTTCAGTTTTAAACAGATTTAATTCAGTTATAAAGTGATACAATTGGATTGAAATCATCTTACTTTGTCATTAAACATTTAAAGTTTAAATCCCTCCTTAGACTTTATTTAAAACAAACTTTTCTGCCTCCATTTAAAGGAGTCCAGCTCAATAGCTCTTCTGATAAAATAATAAATAATTTAATAAAAACTGTAACCAACTTTGCTCTGAGTTAAATTTAACCTGTATGTTTCTGTTTCAGTTGAAAATAAATGTTATTTCTTCTGGAGTGATAAAATATGACAGTAATGGTGAAAAAAATCTAATCCTTCAGGTGTGAAATACTAAACATTATAAAGATTTTAAAAAGTTTTGTAGAACCAAAGTGGGTTGTTCAAATTGATGTTTTCATGTCCTGCTACTCTACAGAAAGTTTCTTTTGAAAATCTGATAAATAAATCCACATTTTATGAGAACATTTTAGAAAAACTAAAAGATGAAAATGTCAGACTGAAACCAGCAATTCTGTGTTTTCCCACCAGAGGGCAGCATTTACCATCTTTTTCATGACGTTATATATTATCCTTTTGACTGAATTGTTTTGATTAAAAAAAGGCATATATATATATATATATATATATACACACACACACCATGTGTGATATCACAAGTCAAACGGATCAGTGCTGATAGAGCCTATGTGAATTAAAATCTTAGATTTCAAAAAAGTATTTTAAACTGGGCAGTTTTTTTAAAGTAATTTTGGTCAAAATAATTTAGATTTGACCAAAAGTGTCATATTTTAGGTGATAATCTTTACTTTTCACTCAAAAACATCAAAATGTAAATTTCTTTGAGAACTTATGTCAAGCAGTTTGACAGAATAACTTCCATCTTAGCGACACTTATGGGCGGTGCCGTTTGAAGTTACCAATATTGTTTTAACCTTTCAGAAAAATAAAGTTCACCATGAGTCACATGTCAGTTAACATTTAGTCAAGCTAGATTTTTAGTTTTGAGCTTAATGTTTAGCTTGAAACTTTAAGCTTAATATTAAAACTTGTGTGAAGTTACTTAAGTTGACAAATTAAATCCACTTGGAGACCATCTTGAAGTCAATTCGTATGACTCAAGTAATTGGCAATATACTTTCTGAAATGCATTCAGTGATTAGATGTCACCTTAGTGGTAGTGGATAATACCTGAATCTGTAGTTCAGCATGTGGGGGGAGATGAGTCAGACAAATTGAGTTAGTCAAAGTTTATTTATAGTTTCTTTATTTAGTCAGACACCAAACATTGAGGCTCCAGGTTCACCTGAAACAAGGATGTCAGGATAAGCAGTTCAGTAAGGGYCCTTCTGGGGAATGTGAGGTCCAGTTCCTGGATGGTCCTCTGGGCCTTCAGAGACAGGAATGTGCTTGAAGTGATCTGTGTCGTATTTGCTGTTAGCATGGGCGTGCAGTAGTCGTTGGAACCCACTGACACTGTAGGTGTTGTGGGATAAAGGGTACACAGGAGGGTTCGGGTTCATACCCCGGGGGACATGGTCAGCATTCCAGTTAGAGTGCTGAGAGCGATGTTTGGGGCCCATCTTCTCCATCTCTTCAATCATCTGATAAAGTTCTGTATCCATGGATCTGCCAGAAGACCGAGCTGGACCTGAACAGAGACGATTCAGTGTTAAAGTATTTTAGTGCATTTTTTAAGAGATTAAAGAGAACACACAAGTTAACCACCAACATGATATAAAATATAAGCCAGGTTTTATTCTGTATACTTGCCTTTAGGGAAATAGTCAACAGCTAAGTAAGAAGGAGGAGCAGCAGCACCGTAAT